CTCAAATCCCGTGTATTCCAATGTTCGGTCAGTTGGTGAAATAGTTGCCCCCCAAAAAAAAACGGATGACATCGCAATAAGGTCGTTATAAAAAAAATCATCCAGGTTATATTGCTGATGGCCATCAACCCCACTTAGTTGGATATCGTTCTGTCCCATTGTGTCCCCATGTACCCATTTCTGTCCAAGTGTCAATCTCCAGACATGAACTAACCCCACTTCCCAGATATCAAGCAGGGGTCAAGATGATCAACAAAATCTGGTTGGTGGTATACCTACCCCTCTGAAAAATGATGGAAATCGTCAATGGCAAGGATTATCCCATAGATTATGGAAAAATAAAAAAAATGTTCCAAACCACCAACCAGAAATTGATCATGTTGGATCAACAGCTACCTCAATGATTCATCCCCGGCGTTCTTCAGAATAGGGATCGATGGAAACCCGCTTAAATGCGTCATTCATAACTCAGCCATGTTTCATAAGTTCCTAATTATAACCCCAAATATTCCTGCTGGATTTCACCAAAAAGTGCCTTTTTCACCAAATATCACTGCTGGATTCCTCTGGATTATAACCCCAAATATTCCCTGGATACACCCATCCAAGAGTAATCAAATGTCATGATCGTTTCACAAATCTCATGTTGTTTTTGCAGCTCAAATCCCAGTTTTGGATCGCCACTCCGCGCCACGTTAAACAATGGTACAACCACTCCTTTTCCTCAATGCCCAACTGGACCCATGAAAAATACCCCAGGATTTAAATCAATATGTTCTACCAATTTCAAGTACATACGCCCCAAAGAGGTACGTTTGCCTGAAAATTGTGTACTCCTAAACCCACTCTTTCATCATCTTTCCTATGCACATTGCCATTTTGGGGTATACATCATGCAAGAAATCCCAAGTGTTCCCAGCTAAGTCCCAGTTGGTGCCAGTTAAATCGCCATGATTCATCATATTTTGATGGTTAAATCGTCATTTTTCCTCATTTTCCACAGTCTTCCCATGTTATCTTTACCAAATTCAAGTTTTCCCCAGTTTTTTCCATGGGATCTTCGCAGTTCACCAAGTTTCGCTACCCAAGATATGCTCCGTCACTGGCGAAATCTGCACTGCCCCAATGCCATTGGGGCCAAGATAGCGGGCACATTCCTGGATTGAACACACGAGATGCCGGGGATGGATATATATAAATAAATAAATAAATATATATATGTATATATATATATATCGGATGTCGCAACTAGTAAGTGATGTATGTGTCTATAATAAATAGATATATGTATATATATAACTAGTGAGAATAATAATACTACTGAAAATAATGTGTATTATGTGAGTATGCATGTAGGTAGGTATGTAATGCATGTATGCATGTATGTATGTATGCATGTTTGCATGCATGTAGGTATGTAATGTAATGTAATGTAATGTAATGTAATGTTATGTATGTATGTATGTATGCATGCATGCATGCATGCATGTATGTATGTATGTATGCATGTATGTATGTATGTGTATGTATGTATGCATGTATGCATGTATGTATGTATGTATGTATGCATGCATGTATGTATGTATGTATGTATGTGTATGTATGTGTTTGTATGTATGTATGCATGCATGCATGTATGTATGTATGTCTGTATGTATGTATGTGTTTATGTATCGACATGGGTATGTACGAAGCTGTACCTGCATGTAGGTAGGTATTTGTGTATGTATCTAGGTAGGTATCTATGTACATATGCACATGCACATGTATGTATGAGGGTAGGTATGTAAGTAGGTAGGTAGGAATGTATGTAGGTAGGTATGGATACATGTGTGTCTTTGTATCTATGTGGGTAGGGGGGGATTCTATGGGGGGGGGTGGCCATCACCATCTCGGGGGGAGGGGGGGACCACCAGACGCTGGGCCATATATATATATATATTTATTTATGTATTTATTTGCTTCAGGAATTTCCAATCAGGATTCTTTCGCTGCCATGTCAGCCTCGTGTGCAATTCAAGCAGCATCCATCTTCTACTTGGACAACCTTTTGGCAACTGCTTCTGCACAATATACCAGCTCCTGCTTGTTGCTCTGACTATTTTTTTCTACATCGACATTTTTTCCAGCCACTATTCTGGATTTGTCGTATTCAACACCTTCCTCAAGGCTGTGGGGGAAGCCTTGCACAGTCTCTTCTACATCTCATACTCTGAGTTTGCTGGAACCAGTACTAAGTCAACCATCTCTTACTTGGTCTCAGAGTGTCTCGTTTGGGTTGCCATATTCTCCTGCTTGCAATTCCAGCCAGTTTTCTACTTCATCGACATTTTCTCCACGCACATTTTTCTCGATTTTTCACACTTCACTCCAAGGTGAAGACACAGGGGGAAGTCTTCCGCATCAATTCCTACTTTTAACTCTCTTCCTTTGCTGGAATGTACACTCCTCGTCATTCTGTACTGAAGGAAGGGGCCATGGCAATTTCCATTTCCTGTTTTCACGGGACTGAAAGTCTCTGTTTACAAAGTGAAATTTGTTATAAGGATTTTTTTGCCTGGAGGTAAACTACCACCAGGAAGCTGTTATCATCAGCTCCGACTAAACCATGCCACATCAAGGTGGCAACTCTTTATTAAGCTCTCTCCACTTCAACTTTAGGGGCCAAGACAAAATTTTCCTTCTAGCCACATCAACTCCATTACCTTGCAGCTAAAGCTCGCAGGGGCCGCCAGAGGCGTGAGACCAAGGTCACTCCAACGTTGTTACTTTCTCCCTTTTCTAGTTTTACTCTACAAAGCGAGATACAGGTGGTCACGAACCCTGCTGTCCGTCACGGGACCGATCTCCTTAAGTATATTTTCTCTTTTGTGATTTTTGCTTCTCCGCCGTTTCTTTGGTTTTGGGGTCTGCCTGCACAAAACCATCGGGTCCCGTGTTATAGGTGCTGGTTAGTAGGTCATCCTGCAGCCACATATTCTCCTGTTCTATTCATTTTATTGTTTTTCATCTTGTTTCTCCATCTGGCTGACGGAAAGCTGCTGCTCACGTGTAGATCGACATGAACTGCATATCCCTGCGGAAAACATATATATATATATGTACACAAGGTGAGGATCCCGTTTAGGATAGGTTGACGCTAACTTGGTGACAACTAGTCATGCTACTGGCGGGGGCCGCACCAACTTTTAGACTGGTTGCATCGGACAAAGATTTACTGTAACTAGTGAAACTGGGGATATAATTGGATGCGTAACCAACCACTTGGTATGTGAGATGGAATATACATGTGTATATATATATATATTGTATATATATAGATATACAATCGAATATAGGATGATTATTTCAAGGGATATGTATATATATATATATATACAATCGATATACATTAACAATATGATTGAACCAACCATTGATAGGTGGGATATGCATCAATCTCAAAGCTAGAGATACGTATCAACACGGGACTGGGGATATGGATGTATATGTATATGTAAATGTAAATGTATATGTATATGTATATGCATCTAATTATCACTATAATTATAGTTATCGTTATATATTTATAAATACAGAAGGGGTACCCATGGGGGGCGCAGGTGTGCAAATTGTAGAAACGCGCATTTTTTGAGAGGTACTGTGATGAAAGCATCTTCACATGAAAAACAAACAAAAAACCATGGAAAAACCAAAAAAACAAAAAAAACAAAAAGGTCAGACCCATGTCCCCTGCCAGGCCTCTCCCCAGACCTTGCCCATGGGTCTGAACTTTTTGTTTTTTTTTGTTTTTTTGGTTTTCTCGAGGTTTTGGCCAAACTGCAAAAAACCATGGAAAAACCAAAAAAAACAAAAAAAACAAAAAGTTCAGACCCATGTCCCCAGCCAGGCTCTCCCCAGACCTTGCCCATGGGTCTGAACTTTTTGTTTTTTTTGTTTTTTTTGGTTTTCTCGAGGTTTTGGCCAAACTGCAAAAAACCATGGAAAAACCAAAAAAAAACAAAAAGTTCAGACCCATGTCCCCAGCCAGGCTCTCCCCAGACCTTGCCCATGGGTCTGAACTTTTTGTTTTTTTGTTTTTTTTGGTTTTCTCGAGGTTTTTGGCCAAACTGCAAAAAACCATGTTCAGACCCAAAGGCCTCTCCCCAGACCTTGCCCATGGGTCTGAAAGGTTTTGGCCAAACTGCAAAAAAATGGAAAAACCAAAAAAAACAAAAAGTTCAGACCCATGTCCCCAGCCAGGCCTCTCCCCAGACCTTGCCCATGGGTCTGAACTTTTTGTTTTTTTTGGTTTTTCCATTGTTTTTTGTTTTTCATGTGAAGATGCTTTCATCACAGTACCTCTCAAAAAAAAACGCGCGTCTCTACAATTTGCACACCTGCGCTCCCCAGGCCAAACTGCAAAAAAAATCATGGAAAAACCAAAAAAACAAAAAGTTCAGACCCATGTCCCCTGCCACCCGCCCATGGGTCTGAACTTTTTTTTTGCTTTTTCGAGGTTTCTGAATGCAGAAATAAATAGCGACTAGAAAGGTGGGATAGAGCTAATTACATTAGCGGAACCAGCGACTAGAAGAATGTAGACGTAGCTGACACAGCATGCTTTGGTGAATGGTGGCCCCTGATACCATCAGTGCGCACGATGTTTCAGTAAAGATCTTACATCGATTTCGTGCAGAGCACAGCTGCCCACACTACAAGCTTTTCAAAAAGAGGCGTGCTGTGTGCTGTCTTGCTTTTGGTTTCCCTGGCCCACCTTGTTTCGAGGTTTCTGCCTTTCCACAAATGCCCACACACCATCCATGTCATAGACAAACGCATGTGCTTCAAGGGTCACGCACTCATCTGCTCAGTTTCTCACTTGCTTGACCAAATGAATTTCAAATTGCTCCTCTCTACATTTCTTGCACTCCAGTAATGTCAGTTGCCTTCTCCAATCCTGAGCCATTTTTGCTTTCAAGCTTCGTCCCACTAGATCGTTGAGTTCTGAGCACTGAGCGATGGTTGCTCCTGAGCCAGAGGACATGCACTTAGAGGATGCCATCCAAGCAACACAGAGCTTGTTTTTGCGCGAGCTGCCCTCACATGTCTGTGTTGGCCCCATGCCTCGTGGTGCCATTGGCCCTTTGGATCTTCCTTTGAAAGATTTGGATGAGAGTTCGCCTGCCATCAAGCACTATGTGGACTTGATCTTGGATATCCCCAAGGATTCTGTGGATGTTGTCAGCCTCAAAGCAATCTTCCGAGATCAGGCCTGGGATGAGTTGCCTGCCTTCATGAAACCAAAGGTTCGTCCCTCCTTTGAAACCATCACTCAGTACATCCTGCTTCCTCAATCTGACGGCCAGCTTTGTCTTCTCAAGCACGTCTACATCACCAATGAGAAGGTCAGTGGAAGCTATGTCGCCACCTTGCTGCATGGAACTGGCCGTGAGATTGCATGGGGCAATGGCAATAAAAAAGTTGTCAGGAAGGCATTTCAATGGATGCTGGAGCAGCTTGGTGGCACACAATTTCGGAAATTCATTCTCACACCTGAGAAGAAGAAGCAAGCACTTGCATCGCAAGCTCCTGAAGAAGAGGGATGGACTTTTCTTCGAGAGCATGGTGAGCTTGACAAGAGTGATCTTAAACAACTTCGCTGGATCCACTTCCACATCAACCGAGATGACTCCCCCATCAAAGGTTGGCCGGAGCGTCTCGTTCAGAAGGCTTTAGACTCCCTTGCCAATGACTCTACTATTGCAAAGTTGTGTGAGCGATATGACTTGACCATCTCTGACGTCGACCCTGAGGTCCGTTCCTTGCTTGAAATCATCGTGCCGCACCTACGAGATCATGCTCTGTGGCTTCTTGGAGAGCCTGGGAAAGGCAAAACTCCATTGGGCAGGATCCTGGCCATGATGTTTTCTCGGTTTCATGGCGGTAGCGGCACCTTCCGAACATCCAATGACCTTGACTTCTTCAAAGGCATCCCATTCACCAAGTGGGTGCCCGCACTTTATGATGATGGCAGCATCGGTGATGAAGAGACTAAGAAAAAAAAGGCATTCTCAGACGTGGGTGATGATGAGTCGATGACTCGCGCAAGGTGGACCAGTGCCAAATTCGTGCGAAATCAGCTCAGAATCGTTCTTGACAACACCTACAACCCCGAGCAGGAGCCAGAGGATTCTATGACAGAAGCAGACTTGGTGGTGTCCCATGAAGACTTCCTCCGGATCATCAGGCCAGCGCTGGGGACTATGTCTCCTACGGATGCAATGGCGATCCTCAAGCGCAGTGCCTTCATGATCTTTGGGAAGAAGCACATTACCTACCGTTTGCCCTCTGAAACTCCCATTCAGGCCCATCGCATTCGCTACACCAAGGCCAGCATCATCTTGAATTCCTCAAGACCAATTTTACGCAACTACAAGGAAGGTGGCCCCATTCCTTTGGACTATGAAGATCACACAGCTTGGGAGACAGTGTCTTGGTTCAATGTTGCTCTTGTAAACAGGTTGCTTGAAATATTTTGCTGTCTCCTTCTCTTGTCTATGTTGCCACTTAAACTTAGTTCCTAGGCCTGGCTGCAAGAAGCTATTCGAAAGAATGCTGAAGAACATCGACGACACTTGGAAGTGAAGGCACAGGAAGAGCAGGTCCTTGCTATGAACACTGGCCCAGTTGTCAAGATGGAGGCAGAAGAGTTCCTGGAATATTTTATAGTTTTAAATTCTGTTTAGGGTTTGATAAGTAACCATGTCTCCCTTGTAACTTGTATATAGACATTCTAAATAACAGTACTGCATACATGTCCCAAGAGGACCCCTTCACACTCAGGTATCATGATGGGAATGCTTCCCTTGCCCGAGAGACTGCACGAGATCCCATCGATTGCGACATTGATCGTGCGAGCGCTGGGTGGACCAACTGGGACGCTCCTTTGTCTGTTCCTGTCAAGCAAGAACCGCGGGTCTTCCACAGGTTGCGAACACCTCCACGTGGCATTATCAGCCTTGATTCTCCATCGCCTGCGAAGCGTGTTTGCGTACGACCACCGGTGAATCCAGGCAATCTTCCGGGCTTGCCTCGTGTGTCAGAAGATGATGATGGAATGCCTGCTGTTGGCCACCTTCTTGATTTTGATTTCCCCGATGCTTCTGGAGGTGCTGGCTACAGAGATGTCTGCCTTATAGTCTCCCTTCAGAACCTTGGTCTGCCTGTTACATGTGAATCTGATGGTCCCTTCTCCATCTCCTTTGGCAACACACTCTTGAAACCATTTGGTGTTCAGCTGTGTCATCATGATCGACCCTTTCTTCAAGATGGTAAGTACATTGTGCATGACGCAGAGAAGATGCATTTCTTTTCTTTGGTTATGCATGAGGGCTTTGTGCAGGTCATTGACAACGCTTCTGTTGTCCAGGTCACCTTGACTTTCTTGAAATCGCTGCTGGAGGATGCAAACTTCACCTTCTACAAGTGTCAGGTTGTGCGTTGCCCTATCAGAACTCAGAAAGATGTCCTTGGTGGTGCAGGAGTTCTGTCAAAGAATGTGTACACTACTCATATGAAAACTTGTTTCTGCGGGCACCGCAGCATGTGTGTCGGGCATGAAATTCGCGCTGTGGTGTACACTCTTGGAGGAGAATGCAGCACTACAGTTCGAACGATGAGATGCAATTCACGTGCCTGCCGGACGACTTTTGGGCCAAACTTCTTTGTTGAGAATGGCAACAAAGTCAACACGGCCGCTCCTGAGGATGTGTCCGATGTTCTCTTTGTGAACATGAAGGTTGGGTTTGCTGTGAATTACCTCAAGTACCATGTCGGGTTGGAATTCCGGGCGTCTGTGCCTGCCCGTGCGGCTCAGGATGTCTATGACAATGTTTTCGGCCACTCGTGCAAGGAACAGCAATTCCGCAAGCTTCATGGAGATGCTTTGATGTATTGGCTTACTTTGAATGAGTTGACCCCCTTGAAGTTGCACAAAAACATTGTGATTGGTCAGGAGCTCTCCCCAGAATCTTTGAAGGCCTATGACTCTTACCTGCACGAGAAGATTTTTCCTCCTTCCACCGTGCAGCGTGCCAAAGTCTTTGAGGTTGTCGGCGACGGTCATACCAAGGTCCATGTCAAGTGCGGAGAAACAACCACACATCAGGGTCGTCCCCGCAAAAATGGCAAGTCAAAGCCTTATGGGCATGGATGGTTCATGATGGTGAATCCTCGAGACCAAAGGATTCTTGCTGTGTCTTGCATGAGCCAGCCAGAAAACAATCCCATTGTGCACAGCTCTTTGCTCACGATCTTGCCAAAGTACAAGAACTTGGACGGTTTTGTCATGGATCGTGTCTGTGGCTTTGCACCCAAAGCCAAAGAAGACTCTGACCTGAAACAGATCAAGTATTGGGCCATCGATCATTTCCATGCTCTGCGACACAAGCAGACCTGTGCCTACAACCCCTTGTATGTGAAGCGCTTGGGAAAGCGATTCAAGGGCATCAACTTGTCTGCCGCCGAGCAAGTCTTCAGTTGGTTTCGCAATTACGCACGCATTCTCAATGAGGCTCGCCCCCTTCGTCATTCCTTCAAGGTCCTGTACTTTGTCAAGCAGCACAACATGGCCATTCGCTTCAAAAAGGCAACATATCTCAACAAGCATCAGCGCCTCCCCAAGAAGACTTCCAAGAGCTATGCCTGCAGCAAGAAGGTGTCCAAGGTCATGAAGAAGTGAGCCTAGGTTGACAACATCTGTCTGTGACCCATAGCAATGTACTGCTTTGGTCACACCACAGGCTATAGGACAGCTTCGAAATGGTCCCAAAATGACTGCTGCACGTCTGCTCCAACAACCCAAGTATCTGTCGCATTTTGCATGCAATCATTCGAATATCATGACACGTGTTTACTCCATAATTCTATATGTTTGTCACTATTCCATCATCATGCCAGCTGTGAAGGCCAAACAACTCACAAAATCAGGACTTTCACAACCTCGCCCCCCATGACTACCCGCTCTCTATAAATATAATTATAGTTTTAGTTATAATTATAATTATGTATGTATATGTATATGTATAACATGTGTAATATATTAAAATAGTAATAACCATAATAATAATGACAACAATAACAATAATTACAATAAGAACAATACTATATATATATATATTGGGTCCATGTTAAACCTGACAGCTGGGATTTTTTCTTCGTTACTGACAGCTGTTCATTTTAGGGCCGGAAAGATGTTTCTGGGTTTCCCAAACATGGATCAGGTAGTGTTCTCCTCAATATACACATGTTTTTTCTGGAAGGCACGATGAATAATGGGATCTAATAGATATAGATTTTAAAAAAAAAAAGTATCTGGGTAAATTAGAAAATATTTCACTCACCTGAATTAAGATGAATCTTAAGGCCATAAAAGGGGATGATTTCCTTGATATATAAACCATGATTCCAGGGCTCGGTCGCGACGTGAGGTCGTTATAAGTTATCTAGAAGAATGGTCGTTATAACCTGCTTAGAGGCAGTCCCCGTCCGATTATGGGCCATCCCACTTTGAAAACCGGTTACTAAGTACTTGATCAGTAGCTTGACCTGGCCGGGTTTTTTTCCGACATCAACTTAAATGACCAATTCCCACGTCTGAAATGGGGTATTTGGCAATTTAGATTGTTGTTTTGCGTGCTTCAGACTTCTAGCTTTGAGGTTGTCTTTGTGTTTTTATCATGTAGTATGAGATTGTTTTGCAACCTCAATTTCATCGTGTCAAGTGACACAACTGTGTTGGCTATCGCCAACCTTAAAAACATTGGTCAGCAGTGTCAACAACTCATGGAACACTTCTGTCTGCCCGGCTGGTTTCTACGAGAGTCCGAATCATTGGTTTAAGGAACACGTTTACAGGAAGCAAATGTGTTGGGACCTGAGAAATTGCCCTTCAAACCCATTCTGGGAAACAACTTTTTGTCCTACAGGGGTCCCCAAAGAATGTTGGAGATTATTCGTGCCTCAGCATTTACAGGTTTCCAACATTCTCGTGTTGTTTTGTTGGTTAAATCCTTTGCTTGTGTACTAGAATCACATTCTTGCAGGTCAATTGCTGAGTTTATTTGGCCTTGAAACAAAAACCTTGAAGTGTTTCAAATTGCTCTACATTGGGGTATCCCCTAGATTTTTCCAGGGAGAATCCCCAAGTTCTCCCCATCTTTTTATAAATTGGCTTCACTTTTTCAGTGATACCCCTTGGAAAATCCCTTGCGAAGATCTGGAAATCCCATCAGAAATCGGATGTCGACGGATCATCGTTGGAAATTCATCGACTGGAATGTTCCATCGAAATGTCTGGTTTTGGGATTTACCCTCTGGTAAACATACCCAAAAAAAAACGATGGAAAGATCCACCGTATTTTGCTGGGTAAATCAACGAACTTTCGACTGGGCCATGGCATGCCATGCCATGGCCATGGCTTCCATCGTCCCGTTGGTTCCCGGTTGGGTCCCGGTTGTCCCAGTGTAACGCCTTCGCGATGTCCACATAGTTCCACTCCCAAAGCTGCACGTAGACGGGGGACCTCCCGCGTGGCGTTTCACCGGTTGTTTCACCAGGCTGGTTTTCCGTATGAATTTGGAGAGCCAAATTAAGCCGCTATAGGGTACGGGCCTGGTACCCAACATCATGGGGAGATATTCTGGAATATGACCATCTATTGAAGATTTTCTTCCGATGTGTCCCCGTTCCCCGTGAATCTTCCCATATGAAAAGGATGAGGATGAAAACAACCACAAATACATGTAAAATCAACCCATTTTCACCCCATATTCCACCAGGTCATGATGGTTTTTGCCTATCATGTGATTGAGAGTTTCTCAATTCATAGCCCCTTGGTTCTCCATTTTTTCTTGAAAATATGGGACTTTCCATAAATGGTGGTACTCCTTTATCGCTGGATGGTTTCATGGAAAATCCCATCTATACATGGGACTTGGGGGTACCCCCTTTGGAAACAAAATCCTGGATAGCCCAAACGCTCTGAAGCGCTCTATCGAAGCAGCAACATTATGCAACACATGGAGCCATGGATCCATCCCGGCTTCCCACAAGAATCTCCCAATCTCCCACAGTGCCCGAATTTGCAACTGCTGCTTTGAAACCTTGATTGTGTTCGGTATCTCCTCTTCATAGTGACAAATAATGATAAGATATCAAAATCATCATCATCAACATTATAGCAATAAATAGCAATAATCACGATAGTCATAATAACTGCCACCTGAATCATTGTTCATCCTTAAATTTGCAGGTCTTATACACGTTTCTTGTCAAAGTCACGTCAAAGAAAGCAAGTTCTAAAGGTGACATCCACGCCAGCCGCTCTAAAAAAACCATACTTTGCAAAGGCGGCACCCACCGAAAAAAACCCATGAACCCCTTCAAGGCCTTGCACAAGTGTACTCTTGAATTCATGTTCACCTTGTGCGTGTTCAAATAGGACTGAGGTGAATCACATTGAGTTACAAAGTAAAGAAGAAACCCAGGCTCTTTGACCTTTGCCCAAAACATTTTCCATCTCAGTTTCCCGCACAAATTTCCTGCTTATTGCAAGATTCGCACCAAAATCCATTTTCAACTTGCCCAAATCTGGTGCAAGTGGTGAAACAAACCTTTCAAGTGAACACATAATGAAACTATATCTTGAAACCGATTGAAACCTCAATCGAAAATATTCATCTCACCAGAGCGCGCTGAGTCTGGCTGGTGCTGGGATGCTGCTTCCAGAAAAACAGAAACCACACCAACCTGGGCGAAAATCGGCGAAACGAGACGAATGTCCAAATTTCGGCTGATCATCAGGCTCCCAACATCTCCAAGGGGAAGAATCTATGTTTGAAAACCAGTGATTTCACCAATATGACCCATTTTTCACCAAAATCATGGCTTGAGAAAAAAGACCCACCGGAAAAATATTAGAAAAAACAGCAGTTTTATGCTAAATTTTTCTAAGATTGATATAGGTTGGAGCAACACCGAAAGAAAATGGCAACCATGTGGGTATGGGTCAAAATTAGGTACCCCAAAATTATGGATGGTTAATACTAAACTAGACTAACATCTGTGGTCCCCTAGGTCTTCCATTTTGTTCCCAGAAACCCAAAGTCCAGCAGGACACTGACCACCAAAACACCGAGCCAAACCGGCGAAAACTTCACCATCGTCACCGTCAAGATGGCCCGCTGGGACAATATGAGGCAGTCGCAGAGGTACAGCACCTGGGGAAATGTCGAAACATGGGATGTTTTTTAGGAAACTTGGGGTTAAACAAACCAATTATGACTATAAAAATCAAAGTTAAAGGACAGGAAAATCGAATTATATCCAAGGAAAATTACTGTCCTTTACCAAGTATTTTCATAGTTGTAAATGGGGTTGTATATTCCATAAATGGGGTGGCTTACTGACTTATTAAGGTATAGAAAAGAGAAAATTGTTTTTTTTGAGATTCAGCCAC